AGATCAAACTCATTAGAAATGTCTTTCAAGTTCACATATATTTAATAAACTTAGAGAAGCCTGGATGCCATATTGACCTTAAGAACGGTAAAATTTAGAAAGAAATTAAATCTCAAAATGGTAATATTTCTTTCTTATTTATCAGCCACTGCAACAACCTCAATGTGAATACTCATGGTTATCAATCAGATTCATTACATTCAATTACATGCAAATACCCTTGGGGTAGATAAGAATCCATCACCTTCCCCCACAGCTATAGGTTAAATAGTAGGATCTGTGTCTGATAAAAAAATTGTTAATGCAATAATTACTCACAAAATTTTAGTATTATTCTTACAATCCAAAATATGTTTCAGTTTTACATAACCCACATACGGGTGATAAGCCATAAAAAACCAATCAATCCATCAATCACAATTATCTATTCATTGTATTTTACAAGAATAAAAAGAATAGTCTGCATTTGGGATTTTGCTGTTTTTGTTGGGGCCAGAACAAAAAGATTCAGAGAGGAGTTACTCAAGAGGGTTTTGCATCTGGCATGGCAGTGAATATTGGACAATTTCTTCACAGATAAAGAGAGTTGATGCAATACTGATGGATAGAACATGTGAACAATGAAGAAGTTCTAAAGAGAATAAGAACTACAAATTAACTTCTGAAAGAAACAGCTAAATATTTTGAACACACAACAAGGAAAGAAAGCTTAGAAAATTTAGTTTTGTCTGGTTTGGTTTGTTTTACAGCATATCAACCCCATATGGGTTATTTAATGTCGACAAAATTTTTATTGCTGGTAATATTTTTTTTTTCAAAATGTATTGCTGGTAATGTTTTTTTTTCCTTCAAAAAACTATTTTAGTAATATTTTTCTTCAAAAATCTATTGCAGGTAATTTTGTTTTTCAAAAGTCTATTGCTGATAATATTTTCCAGAGAAATGTATTGCTGATAATATTTTCCAGAGAAATGTATTGCTGATAATATTTTCCAGAGAAATGTATTGCTGATAATATTTTCCAGAGAAATGTATTGCTGATAATATTTTCCAGAGAAATGTATTGCTGATAATATTTTCCAGAGAAATGTATTGCTGATAATATTTTCCAGAGAAATGTATTGCTGATAATATTTTTTCCAAAAATGTATTGCTGGTAATATTTTGTTTATAATAATTTTCCTTTAAAAATGTATTGCTGGCAATAATTCTTCCTTCACAAAATGATTACTAGTAATAATTTTTCCTACAAAAATGTATTTCCCGTAATAATTTTCCTTCCAAACTATATTGTTGGTAATAACTCTTTCTTCAAAATCATATTGCTAGTAATAACTTTCTTCAAAATCATATTGCTGGTAATAACTTTTTCTTCAAAAATGTATTGCTGGTAATAATTTTTTCATCATGAAAGTATTGCTGGTAAAATATTTTTTCTTGAAAATGTATTTCAGGTAATAATTTTTCCCCACAAAAAATATTGCTGGTATTAATGCCTATATTTACACCTCCACAGCTTTTTGACCTCTGTTTGAAGGTCAACTATTTGCCTATAGCTGGGATCCTAACAGGTGCTACCACCCCAGGGTTAGGGTCGACCTGGGAACACCAGCAATTAAAACGTGGTTCCATGCTCCTCAAACCTCTAATCAGAGGTCTTGCTGTTGGATGTAGTTTAATGTCTTACCCAGGACAAGGACATAGTTTATCATCATAGCCAGAAAAATAGAAAATTTGACAATCACAGAGCCTATGGAATGAAACGGGTAACAGTTATAAATCTATTTGGTTAAAGAGATCACAAAGACACAACACAAAGAAGTGCAAAAGAGGATAGAGTTTGAGCAATGAAAAACAGGAAGTTGTGGAGAGGCATGATCACCAATGTCCTGAAATGATATGACACATGAAAGATGATCAGGCTTCAGCTTATAATCTAACTGTAACAGTAGGCAAAGGATTGACATGATGATCATTAGACTATGTATAACAAATTTCCGTTTGTTCCCAACCAGTCCATCAATGGTTGGTCAATAAACAAAGCAACTTTCTTTGCTGATCTACAAGCAACCGCAGCGGTACACTGGAAATGTTCTGGTCAAGAAAATTAACCCATTTTACAGAGGAACAAGAAATTAAGCCATCGTGTCCTTTGTTAGGCACGACAGTAACCATCACAAAAGAAAAATAGATGACAGACAATAAGAAAAAGTTGTTTCATTTTCTACAGCTTATCAACCCTTTGCAGGTTATTTTAAAGCCAGAAAATTTTTTTTCGATTGTAAGAATTTTTTTTTAGAGATAATAATGATTTTAGTGATACAAGTCTTACTATTTAACCTATAGCTGGAGTGAGAAGAGGTGGATTTATAACTTTCCCAAGGGTATTTACACATAAGTGAATATAACGAACTCAGCTAGAATTAGAACTTGGTTCTCCAATTAACAATTCTGAGCCATTATCCATTATGCTACCTGCACATCCCAGCTTACACCATCTGGTACTCCCAAGCAGTCACTCATGTAAACACTGACCAGGCTCAACATTGCTTAACTTAAGTGATTGTATGGGAACTAATGTTTTGTGACATGGCCATAATCTGGGTAGTAGAGACTCAGAGTCAGTGAAAAGATGGCAAGATATCCCTAAGCATGGACAGCAGAATAGGAACAATCTACCCCTGTATATTAAATGAAGGGTCCAATTCCAGATCCCTGAACGTTATTTTTTTTTTTGTTTTTTTATGGATTATAAACCTTTTGCAGGTTATTCAAAGTAAGAAAATATTTTTAGATTATAAGAATTGTTTTGGAGATAATAAGGATTTACTGATACAAGTGCTACTAATTAACCCATAGCTAGGGAGAGAAGAGGTGGATCCATAACTTTCCCAAGGGTATTTGCACATAAATGAATATAACAAACATGACTCAAATTGGAACCTTGATCATCGATTCCCAATTCTGAACTGTTAATCATTACATCACCTACACATCCAATTTTATAGCACCTTATATTCCCATGTGGTAACTCATCTAGGTACTGACCAGGCTCTACATTGCTGGTGATCATACAGGAAGTGGTGTTTCACTTGATATTCCCAGGTGGTCACCCATTTAAGTACTGACCAGGTTCAATTTTGCAATTGGAACTCAGCTCTCTGATTAAAAATTCAGATCTATTATCCATTACACTATCGACACATCCAAGCTAACAGCATGTGGTATTCCCAAGCAGTCACCCACCTAAGTACTGATCAGCTTCAATGTTGCTTAACTTCGGTTATCATGTGAAAACCAGTGTTTCAAAGAGATAAGCATCATGACAGTTACCTGGATCAACACTACCTGACGAAGGCTAAAGGGCACAATGGCTGAAACGTTGTGATGACAACAACAAAGATGAGGATAGTAGTTGGAGTGTAGATAATGAGAAAAAAGAAAGATTAATAAAATACGAAATCAGTTCTATCGTAATTGCTACATTTTGTCTATGAAATTTGTCTCATATTAGTTGTCACATTTGTAAATTATAAAAAAAATGAAAGTAAAATACCTTTATTAATTCAGTGCTTGGAACCATTTATTTTTCTAGAAAAATTTTAATTAATTTAATTTACATTCAATAATTTGTTGGTATGGCATCATAGTCACATTTTAATGCTGTTACATTTAATCCTCTTGTGTTCAGAATACATACACCTGGTTGGCTATTTAAATTTCCAAACCTACCCACTGTTATTTCTGACTCCCAGTTTATTTTGTTTTCCACTTTTTTGTCCAACTTGTTTATTCTACCCTCTTCTGCCAGTTTTTTTCTGTTCTGAAAACAAACTAATCTTGAACAAATTTTCCAACTTACCCTTTTATTCCAGACTGCCTGTCTATTCCAGACTTAAGAGCAGTCACCAATTTTCTTGTCAAAAATTCTTTCATTAGTTGTTTGCCTAATTTTATTGACATTTTTGAGTTACATTTGTTATTTCATTTTTTTATGTGTTTCATGGATTTCCACCTATAGTTGACATCATTTATATAAAATATATATTAACATATATATATATATATATATATCAACACAACAGGTGCAAATTGGGAAATTTGCATTTTGGCTTCCCTTTAAAGAAAATTTTGCTTCAAGAGACTTGAAAACATCACAAATTTGCTGCTAGATCATAAAATCATTACCTGTAACAAGTGTGGTTAATAACAAAAAGAAAAATAAGCAAATAACAAACATTATAGGATGTGAGTAGTATTAAACTGCTTATTCTTATCTATCTAGTTATCTGTCAATGATGTATATAAAAATGGTTGCATAGAGCAACTCATCATGTTAGTGGGGCACATCTGGTTGACCATTACAACTGAGTAATGACTTCAATCCTTATCACTTGCCCTTTTTGTGTGCCCTTCTGCTAAGCTAAGATAAGCTTAGTAAATAGGAATTTGCCTCATTTTATATAAATTTCAAATATCTTTTGTTATTTTGGGTTTTGGTGAACAACTTCTTGCATTTCAATCCACAGTCGGTACCATCTGCTAAAATATATCAGCATGGCAAGGGGAAATTTGAAAATGTTCATTTTAGCTCACCTCTAAAGAACAGTTTGCCTCAAAGCATTTCATTTTATTTTAAAAATTGAACTTAACAGCAGAAAGTTCTGATATAAAGGATACTGATTAAGTATTACCAGTAATCATAGGAAAACTATGCAAATGTAACAAGTATTATGGAGTGGAGGAAATAGGATACAAGAGGAAAATAAGCAATGTAGAGGAATAGAAAAGGAGAAAGTGGGAGGGGAGAAAATGAAGTAAAAAATGAAAGAAATGTAGTAAAAATATTTGCAGAATAAGTGGTGGGAAAAGGAAGAATGATACGACTTCTGTCCAATAATATTTGCTACATTTACAATGTATTTACATACAAAAGTGGAGTAATGATTATGGGACTTAGGTTTTAAGAATGATAATTAAGAGAAAATAAACAAGAGGAGTTAAAAGGAAGAGAAGCATAATGAATAAAAACTGAAAGAAAGAAACAGAAGGAAAAACAAAAGAACAAAAAAGAAAGAAAGAAAAAAAGAAAGAAAAAAGAAAGAAAGAAAAAAGAAAGAAAGAAAGAAAAAAGAAAGAAAGAAAGAAAAAAGAAAGAAAAAAGAAAGAAAGAAAGAAAAAAGAAAGAAAGGAGGAAAAAAGAAAGAAAGGAAAAAGAAAGAAAGGAGGAAAAAAGAAAGGAAAAAGAAAGAAAAGAAAAAAGGAAAAAAGAAAGAAAGAAGGAAAAAAGAAAGAAAGAAAAAAGAAAATGTAGAGAGAAATGAAAGAGAAAGAAAGAGAAAGAAAGAAAATAGCAAAAGAAAAGCAAAAGAGTAAATAGAAAGAAAATACAAAGTAAAATGAAAAAAGAATAAAATATTAGAAAAGAAAAGAAAATTGAAAGAAAAAGAAAAGAAATAATGAAAAAAGCAAATAGAAAAAGAATAAAAAATTAGAAAGAAAATGAAAGTAAAAGAAAATTGCAAGAAAGTAGAGAGAAAGAAAAAAGAAAACTGAAAGAAAGAAAGGAAAAAATCAATTGTAGAAAAAAAGAAAAATAGACAGAAAAAGAAAGAAAAATGAAAATAGAAAAAGAAAAGGAAAAAAGAAATAAAGAAAATAGAAAGAAAAAAGAAAAGGAAATAAAGGAGAGAAAAAGAAAAAATAAATAAAAAGAAAATAGAAAGAAAGAAATGGAAATAAAGAAAAAAACAAAACAAAATAGAACACAAGTAGAGAGAAAGCTTAAAAGAAAAGAAAAGGAAACAAAAATTTAAAAAAAAAACCCAGAAAAAAACGAAATTAGACGAGGGACGGAAATAAAAACAAGTAAAATTAAAGAAAGAAACACCAAAACCTAAAAGACAATTAAGGATTAAGTAAATTAGGTCCATTTACCCAGGTCTCCAAATTAGGGTAGCCAGAGGCTAATTACTAAGATAAGTTACAGGATTGAAAAAAAAGAGTATGGTAAGGAGTGGAGTGGAGGAAACAATCCTACCCCTAATCAATTTGCTTCCTTTCTACTTGCCCAATCTTAAACTCCCAGCAATTTACCACCTTCAGAAGGACTGTCTACTAAATCTACCTCTGATTCTTCTAAAAGCAACACGCTTCTTTTCAAGTGATGCTGGAAGAATAAATTGCTTCTGTCTCTGAGGTGGGTCAAGTGATTTAAGCTATAAAGATGTTATTAGATAGAGAGATTAGCCTAAACTGAGATCTCTTCTTATTCTCTCAGTGCTAGGATTATCCAAGTATTATATGAATAAAATTAGGGATCCAAACTAAGTTTTTAAAATGGTGCTTTAAATCTGCCTGCTCAGAATGACTGCAGTCATCAGGAAATATGCAGGTCCCTTTCTTTTGACGGCTTCTCCCTGCCCTACAATCTTAACCTGTTTAAGTCTATAGTCAACCGTTATCTTTCTCAGGTATTTGTTGTAGCATACCTGCAGATGATAATGGGTATGTCCCCATTCACATAAATACAGTAGTAAATACTGTATGTTGGTCTGCAGTTAGAGATTCATTGTGGATTTGTTTGTTCTTTTGTTTAAAACTTAACGACCCATCGATCAGCAAGAGATCAGATTCATTGTGGAATTGACTTGACTCACTTCTAGCAGTTTATATACTTTCTATATGTTTAACAAGATAATCCTTTAAAGAGAAAATAAGAAAACATATTTATAGTAATATTTCCAACTATCAACACACATTTAAAAAACTACATTACTTAACCATTTTTCTACAGATCCATTTTTCGTGAATCTAACTCATCTCTTTCTAACACAGAAAAATCAATGAAGATATATACAAAATATGCATGAGATATGCTTTAATGAAAAATCAAACCAAAACAAAATTTTTCAAAACATCCTGCTGCATCTCACTAACTTTTACACAGTTTAGCATCCAGAGTGTTTCTCACACACATTTGAATATTATCTGTTACTTCATTACATGTGACACATATCTAACCAATAAGAAATAGCCAAACACAACATACAATTAATCTATGTCTCTACTTTTTATCATTTCTATCTTGATTTCTGACAAAGCTTAAGCTTTAATAAAGTGAAACATGTTAGATTGGGATCTGTTTCCTACTTGTTCTATATATATATATATATATATATATATATATATATATATATATATATAAAATAGAGGTAATAAATAAACTGGTATATAATCCTAGTAATATAAAATATTGAAATTGATCTACAAAATGAGCTTAATGTATTTATTATTACAGAGCAAGTAATTAGTAAACAATAAAATAAAAAATTATGCCATATGGGGAATAGATTTATTTCAACCAACGAAAACTTTGTCAACCTTATTCCACCCCAGTATAGACTGAGTTCGTATTGGAACATAAAGTTAAATTTCTAATTCCAATACAAACTCAGTCTATACGGGGGTTGAATAAGACTATTTTCCCTATAAGGTAATTTTTAATATTTTTGTGTACTATATATACATATGTATACACATTTGTATGTTCATATAGAATTCTATACCAGGGGTGGAGTGAAGAAAATTTCTGTGCATAATCCCCTCCCAAAAACATCAGAATTTTAGGGAGAATCCCTTCTTATTCAAACAAAGAACTTTTCAGTGAATTGTATGTATCTGTATGTAATCCTTAGAATGACTGACTCACTAGGACATCAAAATTTTGTAGGAACTCTTACTTAGTCAGGGTGAAAAATTTTCCATCCTTCTTGTGTGTGTGTGTGTGTGTGTATATATATATATATATTTTGAAATGGACAAAGTCCAAGAATTATTTTAATACATTTTATGTTTATACATTCTTTTTATAGATACAAATATTTAAGTAAATGCTCTGTTTATAACAAACAGTATTAAACAACATTTACTGACCTGAATGTCTGAGAAAATTTTCACAGAAAATATTCGTCCTCCGACAGGATTTGAACCTGTATCCTATACGGAACCGTCATTTAGCTTGACGTGCCTTTACTGATTTGGCCACAGAGGTGCATTCGGTTAGCAAGGTCGAATTTACTGTATTTAACCTTCAATCTTCTATGAATCTCTCACGTACATTCATATCTGCTCATGGCATATCAAATGTAAACAAATGATGTCACACATTATGAAATGGACAAAATCTGACAATTATTTTAAAACATTTTATGTTTATAAATTCTTTTTATAGATACGAGTATTCAAGTAAATATTTGTATCTATAAAAAGAATGTATAAACATAAAATGTCTTAATATATATATATATATATATATATATATATATATATATATATATATATATATATATATATATATATATATATATAAGCAAATATATGGATATAGATCCAACAGTATGAAGAAAAATATACAGAAATACAAACAAAAATCAATTGATGGGTTAGCATGAAATCACAATTTCCTATCCTTTGTAACTCTTAATAAATTTTGTCTTCCTTCCTGTCCGAAACTTTGTTCTGCCATTCATTTACTGAAGCTCACCTGATAGGTTACACACAGTTTTTCCTTCAATCTATCATGTGATTATCAAATTTAATAATCCATCTTTCTTCATTTCAATTCTCTCTCTTTCTGATTCTAAGTTCAAGTGTCTTTCTTTTTTTCTTTTTCTCTAAAACTTTGTCATTGCTCACATGTTTGGTCCATGATATTCTCAACATCCTTCTGTAGAACCAAATTTCTGTTGCTTCAAGTCTCTTCTTGATCTGTGAGAAAATATTGCCGAATATATAATAGAAAGCACAAAGTAAGGTAGTAAATTAGTTTTACAAAAGGCATGAAACCTCCAATTTTGTTAATCAGTACTTCAAAATCCAGAGGGTGTTCAAAACCTTTTGGTGTTCAGTATATATGTGCTAGTAAAATATATGATACTCACATTATATGCTTATTTTTATGTCTACTTAATTCTCCTGACACCAGGAGACATTCTATAACATAGTCACCAAACTCATACAAAAACTTGCAGTTGGAAAACCAATAAGTGAAATAATATGGAAAAAAAATTATGAGAAAGCTAAGAGTTAAATCACTAAACTATTTACCAGATGAGCCATGTCTTTTCTATCTTCCCTTACTGAGGAGAAATTCTTTATTGGATCTCCCCACTGACTCAAAACCAGTTTATTTCCTTCCTTCCTTGCTTTTCTTTTAATTTAGCATGGCAAGAATGTCCGGGTTGTCTTTCTGCTATTTAGTTCTTTCTTTCTTGCAGACAATAATTCCTTTTGTTGTGATATGAACTGATTCCTGCAAGTGGCTATTGGGAAGAAATGTCTCAGAATTGGTTGAGCGGATGAGGTCGAAGGAAAAGAAAAGAGGTGAAATGATGAATCAGCAAAATTTTAATCTAAGATTACCACAACTATTGTTGTTAATGATAATAATGGGAAGAAGAAGATGATGATGGTGAATGTGATGGAGAAGAAGAAAATGAAAAAGATGAAGATAAGAAAGAAGGAAAAGGCAGAGGTGAATAATAATAATAAAAGGAAGAAGATGAGGGTGAATAGGATGGAGAAGAAGAAAATGAAGAAGATGAGGATAAAGAAAGAAAGAAAAGGCAGAGGGGAATAATAATAATAATAATAATAATGGGAAGAAGAAGATGATGGTGAATAGGATGGAGAAGTAGAAAATGAAGAAGATGAGGATAAAGAAGAAGGAAAAGGCAGAGGGGAATAATAATAATAATAATAATAATAATAATAATAATGGGAAGAAGAAGATTATGGTGAATAGGATGGAGAAGTAGAAAATGAAGATGAGGATAAAGAAGAAGGAAAAGGCAGAGGTGAATAATGATAATAATAATAATAATGCCAAGGAGAAGAGGATGATGGTGAATAGGATGGAGGGGTAAAAAATGAAGAAGCTCAGGATAAAGAAGGAGGAAAAGGCAGATGTGGATAATAATAATAATGGGATGAAGAAGATGATGACAAATAGGATGGAGAGGTAGAAAACGAAAAAGATGAGGTTAATAATAATAATAATAATAATAATAATCATAATAGGAAATGATGATGGTGAATAGGATGGAAAATGAAGATGATGAGGAGAAAGAAGACAGAAAAGGCACAGGTAATAATAATAATAATAATAATAATGGGGGGAAGATGATGATGGTGAATAGGATGGAGAAGTAGAAAATGAAAAAGCTGAGGTTAATATTAATAATAATAAACTTAATGGGAACTGATGATAGAATGGAAAAGGTAAAAGATGAAGAGAAAGAAGAAAGATAAGACAAAGGTGAATAATAATGGGAAAAAGATGATGGTGAATAGAATGGAGAAGTAGAAAATAAGGAAGATGTGGATTCAGAAAAAGGAAGAGACTAATAATAATAATACAAAGAAGGAGAGAAAACTGAATAAGAACTGAAAATAAGAAAAGCCAAAATAAACAATGTGAAGAAAGAATGCCGTGAAAAACAAGATGGAATAAAAGAATGAAATGTGACTGATTTGAAATAACATCAGTAATAATTGAAATGATACTCGAACAAATGATCAGAACAGAATTAATTGGACTCTGCAAGGTCTGATGTTTTTTTTATTGCCATAAGGATGACTATCATTTGTTTCAGATGCTTTATTACGCAAAGTGTTTCACCTTCTGAACTTCCGCTTATATTCAATAAACACAAGCAAATGACAAAAATTCATTGACAATTGATTAAATTTGATTAAATGTGTTCTATTTAAATGATAAATACTCAGGAACAAGATGGAGATGCAACATTATACAGTGAAAGTTTCAGATTAAAAACAGAAGCAAAAACAAAGAGAGAAAATAACAAATCCTGATTTTTTATTTTTCTTTGACAAAGCAAAACAGCACTACATGACTTTGGATTTTTTAAAACAAAATTTCACATAAGCAAGCCACAAGATACTACTGACGGGGAAAAACAATGATGATCAGTAAAAATAAAACTAATGTAATATTAGTATGATAATAATAATGGCATGACTGTTCACAATGGCACTAAGGAATGGTAAAAATGATAGATTTTAAATTATCCAGAAGAATGTCAGTTTAAAGAATTAGACCTTCAAAAAAGGAGGAGGAGGAGGAGGTGGTGGTGGTAGTAGTAGTAGTAATGAACATGAAGACAATGTCTAATCCAAGAGGTTGAAATCTGCAACCTCCCACTATTCATACTTTTTGCACAGCATGACGTAACACATGTTTTATGACCACAATCCTACTCGAATAGAATGTGACCAAAGTTCCACATGCACAGGGGTCCATTTGGGGACCACAAACAGTCACACCCACTTGAAAAATTACTCTTTTTAGCAGATGTTGCACCAGGGATTAAAGGGGAGAGATAAAGTTCATTAATATTTTTTTATTCATGTTGAAGAAATAAGATAAAATTTTATAACTTATATATCTAGGTTTTAACCACAGTTGCCATGACTGGTCAATGGCCAAGTATCCGATCTGCTATGATTGGCCAATGATCCAGCACAAAGTCTGTCATGATTTGTCAATTGTCCATTATCAATACTACCATTGTTGGCCAATAGCTCAGCACCAAAACTGCCTTGATTGATCAATGGTCCAGCATCACAAATGTCATGATTGGTCAATGGCTCAGCACCAAAACTGCTTTGATTGGTCAATAACCCAGCATCATGAATGCCATGATTGGTCAATAACCCAGCATCATGAATGCCATGATTGGTCAATAACCCAGCATCATGAATGCCATGATTGGTCAATAACCCAGCATCATGAATATGATGATTGGTCAATAACCTAGCATCACAAATGTCATGATTGGTCAAAATTCCAGTATCACAAATGTTATGAGTGGTCAATGGCCCAGTATCACAACTGCCATTGGTGGTCAATGTCCCAGCACTAAAGCTGCCATGATTGATCAATTATATTTGGTCAGTTAATTAGAATGAGTAAAACTTTAAATATAAAATCATGAAAATATTGAAGAATTCAGACAATTGAGGTTTAGTTAAACAATAAGAAGTTTTATTCCTCAAAAATTATGAAAAAAGCAAAATTATTCAAGAGTAAACCTCACAACAATAAAAGATTTGTCGAGCATTGGATTAATTACTTAATTGCAATGTGTGAATGTCTGATTGTAGCAAAATACTTGTATAAGCTCAAATGAGTATTAAAACAAATACTCAATGGAATGAAATGTGGTGGGAGTCTAATGACTACATAGAAAAAGAAAGCAGAAATATCCAGACTCTTTTCATCTGGGAAAAAACATTAACAGTTTAAAAAAAAAGGAATCAACCATAGTCTGGATTATTGAGTCAATGTAAATGATTCTTTCCTCAGCTGCATATTATGTGCTTCACCAGGGTTACATCAATCTGTTATGTGCCATGTGTGATACACTCTTAGGCGATCATGTATCTTTTAATACATGACTGACAAGGCAGATATTTTTTCCCCACAATAAGTTGCCATTACTTTCTGCAATAGACCAATTGCCATACAAGGCTATAGAACCTGGTCTGTCCTGCTATTTACCCATAGCTTGGGGGGGAGAAGAAGAGGATTCATACCCTTCCCGAGGGTATTAGCACATAAGTAAATATAATGGCTTTGACTGGAATTGAACTTGGCTCTCCAGTTCCTCAATCCGAGCCGCTATCCATTCATATATTTCCCAAGGGTAATAGCATATAAGTGAATGTAATGAACTCAACTGGAATTCGAACTTGGCTCTCTGATTATCCAATCAGAGCGACAATCCATTACTCTACCGTGCTTTTCAGCAGGTTAATATTAACATTATTATAATAACAATAATAATATTAATATTGATGGTGATGATGATGATGATGATATAACTTCCTAAGAAAAATCCTAATTTACCTAAGGTCTCAGCTGAAAGACATGGGAAATGATTGTATCAAAGAGCAAAAACAAAAAAGAAAACCCTAGCATCAGCATTTTGCACATTTTTTTTTTATTTCTCATTTCTATTTATTATTTTACTTTAGCTGACATGTTTATAGATCTCATCAACTGAGAATCCTGGACAATAGAAGGAAGGTGTCAGAAAAAAAATATGAAGAGATGGTGGGAAAAAAAGAGATAGGTAGCAGAAGAAGAAATACGCAACAAAATTTTATGGACAGGGTTGCTCCGAAGGCTCATAAGAACCACGTCTTACTTTCATTCTTTTTTTTTGTTTCGAGGCTTTTTTTATTGTAAGGAATGAAAACAAGATATGTATTTTTAGAAACAAGAATGGAAAAAAAAATGAGAGAGAAAAAAAACTAAAAAACAAAAGAAGTAAAGAAACGCATCAAATAAAACTGGTTTGGTGGGTCGGATGAGTTGGAGATATTGATCTCTGATACGATTTCTACATTTCTGTCCGGCATCAAGAGGCTAATATATCAGGAAATGCCCACACAGCAAAAGAGGAACAGAAAAAAAAGTTGCAAAGTCAGCAGTTATTAGAGTTGGCTTGAAACAGGTCACTCTCTAGTGTGAAGGTCAGAAAGGTTAGCGCTTTTTTTTTTCAGTGTTATACTCAGCAAACTGAAAACCTTAACCAACAAATCTGCACCATCTGTTTTGTTTTTAATCAATAAACCAGGAATTAAAAAAGAATTACTAATTTATCCAGTTAATTAACTTGTGGAAGGGAAAGGGGTTAAGATTTAGCCTTGTCAAAATATTCAAAACATCTATAAAAAAAAAAAAAAGATTGATTGATTTTTACAGTTTAGATCCTTTTCAGAGACACAGACATTGGCACACAACCAAGATATAAGGAGGGAGCTGCTCAGCAACCATATGACCATACTCAAACATTGGACACATGATTATACTGATACTTGATGTAGAATCTTTAGTTATTTTTATTCTTCAAAAAATTTTATGCAATGTCAATCATTGTCATCTGTCTGCTTCAATCTGTTCTTTCATTGTCCTCTCTGTTTCTATAATTCTCAGTTACTCCTTGCATCCTAGTGGCTTTATTGCCTTGCTTGGGGTGAAATGATTAGCAAAAGCTATGATCTCCAAAATTTTAAATGCAATGTCAATCATTATCTTCTGTTTTCTTGAACTCTGTCCTTTTATTGTCCTCTTTCAATGAGCAAAAATGATGATTACTGAACATTTAGCAAAAGATAAAGATTGCTGTGAATGTAATCGTAACTTGATATTTATATTTTCTGAGCTGAGCTTTCATGGATAAACAAGTTGATTTCATTAATATGGAATTCTTCTTTGAATAGACAATTTATTATGAAGTCATACCAGTAACATATAAGGTAGAAATGGTTTTATTTGTTTTATTATCAGTTTATTTAATAATGTGAACCTCTACATGTACATTATTGGTTATTGCACCAAGGCCAAGGTTAGCCTAATGACAAACAAATATTTAGCTGTCCCCCCCATGTGGGGTCGCATGTGGCACAAGGCCGAGTTTTACGTGGTCACCCGAGCCCGTACGTCCGGCCAAAAATATAGCCTTTGACTCGCCTAGGCGGGTTCGAGAGCTGTCATAACCTCCCCGAACGAAACCTTGCCCTTCAGCAAAGCTTCGTCCAGGTTCCTCTCTGCTAATGCAGAGAGTTTGACAGATGGCGGTTGCTGTAACTTTAATACAACTACAAAACAAACTACTGACAAACATCACTCACAATATAAGGTTTCTTTTTTAGAATTGTAGTGTAAGACGACCCCCAATTTTTAAGGATGATTTTTGGGATTTAATGGTCGTCTCATATGCGGAAATATACAGCATATGTATGTATGTGTATTTGTGCTTATATGTTGATAATTGCCTGTGTTAAATTATATTTTAATTCCATTGTCTGCTTCAATCTGTTCTTTCACTGTCCTCTCTGTTTCTATAATTCTCAGTTACTCCTTGCATCCTAGTGGCTTTATTGCCTTGCTTGGGGTGAAATGATTAGCAAAAGCTATGATCTCCAAAATTTTAAATGCAATGTCAATCATTATCTTCTGTTTTCTTGAACTCTGTCCTTTTATTGTCCTCTTTCAATGAGCAAAAATGATGATTACTGAACATTTAGCAAAAGATAAAGATTGCTGTGAATGTAATCGTAACTTGATATTTATATTTTCTGAGCTGAGCTTTCATGGATAAACAAGTTGATTTCATTAATATGGAATTCTTCTTTGAATAGACAATTTATTATGAAGTCATGCCAGTAATATATAAGGTAGAAATGGTTTTATTTTATTATCAGTTTATTTAATAATGTGTATCTCTACATGTACATTATTAGTTATCACACCAAGGCCAAGGTTAGTCTACTGACAGACATCACTCACAATATAAGGTTTCTTTTTTAGAATTGTACTATATGATGACCCCTAATTTTTAAGGTGATTTTTGGGATTTAAAGGTCATCTCATATGCGGAAATATACAGCATATGTATGTGTATTTGTGCTTATATGTTGATAATTGCTTGTGTTAAATTATATTTTAAGTTTTTTTGCTAGTAAAAGAGTTACATATACTCAACTTTTGTTTAAGGGTTTAATTATGATAAAAAGAAAAGAATAACTGCAAGGAAAGACACATAATAAGGAAAGAAGACTCGGGGAATTTAATATATCAGGTGGAAATGGTTTTATTACTTTTATTATCAGTTTATTTGATAATATGAATACTTTCATGTACGTTATTGGTTATCGCACTGAGGCCAAGGTTAGGCTACCAACAAACATCACTTAGAATTTAAAGTTTCTTTTTTAGAACTGTAGTATAAGATGACCCCTAATTTTTAAGGGTGATTTTTGGGATTTAAATGTCATCTTATATGCAGATATATATGGTACATATTCTAATTATATTGACTGTTTCTATATTTAATCATTATAGTCTTCATTTACCAAATCATTATCAGGCTTCAAGTATTCAGAAAGGAAGCACATGATCAGCTGTCTTCATTTCGTATTTTGTGAACAATCTTTGTATTATATTCCTTCTCTTCTTGGCTAATATGATCAGCAAAGTTAAGCAACATTGTGCCTAGTCAGTACCTAGATGAGTGACCACTTTGGAATACCATGTGCTGTAAGCTTGGATGTGCAGGTGATGTAATGGATAACAGAGTTGGAAATTAGTGATCTGGGTTCTAGTTGGGTTTGTCATATTCACTTTTGCACAAATAACATTGAGAAAGGCATGAATCTACCACTTCTCCCACCCACAGCTATGGGTTAATTAGTAGGTTTTGTATCAGTAAGCCATTATTATCTCTAAAAATTTTTTTACTATCAAAAAATGTTTTCAGGTGTTAAATAAAATGCAAAAGGTTGATAAGTCATAAAAAAAACATAAGCAAATCTCTCAAATAAAACAAAGCTCCTCTTCTTATGTTTTCCAATTTGTTTGTCTTGTATGATTAAATTTTCAAACAGGAATCCAGAATTCCCAAAACACCATCACAGCATCAATAAAATACAATGCAGGTGTCAAAGACAGGCTATTTTTAACAGTCAAAATCTTTAAATTGAGATGAGCAAAATGTCCTCGGTCATGTTATCAGGCCTTAGCACCTTGTTATTAATAGTTATTGTTTGTTACTTTACTTTCTATGGAGGTGTTGGCAATATAATGAATAGGTAGCTAGGAAAGAGAAATCAGGAAGTAAAGTTCCAATTCCAGTCGGGTTTGTTGTATTCATTTTATTCATAATATTAATACAGTGTAAAATCGATCCCTGACTTTTTACAGAGTTATTTGGACTAACCATTCTGTATACAAAATCTTTACTTTACCAAAAGAATTCTTTATAATCGTATGCATTTTTAAAATTTATTTATACAGCATTGTTGTGGTCTGTGAGGATAAGGTAAAGGCTGCTGGAAATTTGCTTTCACTCAAGGAAGGCAATGAAGCCACTAGGATGCAAGGGTGTTGGAGAATATGAGAAAAATTACTATGAGGAGAGAGAACAATAAAAGAACAAGAATTAAGAAGACAGTAGATAACAGTTGACATTGCATTTAAATTTTTGAAAATCTAAGTTGGCTGGGAAGCACAGAGTCGGAAGGGATTTCTACAAGTGAAAAGTGCAATAAAAGAAACTGTTAGCTTAGAACTTATGGTTACATCTAGCCATTTGAACTGTAAATTGATAAGATCTTGCTGGTAATCTAGTAATTAACCAATAATTAATAAATCTATATATATATATAAAATAGAGTAGATAAGTTGGTTAATAAAACAAAGGCAAATGAAAGGCTACTGATGCGATCAGTATGAAAAACATTTATAATTATTAACATTAACCACATGACAGAAATGAAGCACAGAGATTAAAGTTCCAAGTTTAGAATTTTCAGACACAACTGTCTCCGTCATCAAAGGATGCAAGAAATAAACAGGCTAGGGAGAATCCTGTTTGTAGATGGAATTATTAGTAAAAATCCGATCTCTGTTTGATTTCTCACTGTGTAAAACTTTTTATGAAAATAACCTTAAATTTAAAAATTGAGTTTGGTGGTAGGTGGAAGGAAAGTGAGATATTGAACAGAGAGGAAAAAGGGTGGGGAAGGTGTTGGCACTGAGAGATTTGGTGAGATACGATACATATATAGATGCACAATTTGTCTATATTTCTGAGATGAGGTATTATGTACAGTATTTACATTAGTCGGACTATTGTCCTCATCTTTGTCGCCATATTTGTCACAACGTTTTTGCCGTTATGCGCCCGGTTTTATTCAACGTGGTTCTATCCACTGTGCCATGTGTCCTGACACATGGCACAGTGGATAAAGGCGTTGGTTAGATCCAGTGACAGACCCAAAGAAGGTGAGTTCAATTCCTGGTTAAGGCAGTGGAGAACTTTCAGAGGGAAAATTAGCAGGAGATAACTGATAACTGACATCCATCAAACATGGCACGTGGAATTAGAACAGTCTACCCCAGCGATCGAAATAAAGGGTTCAGTTCGAAATTCCAACCACCTGAAGAAGGCCGGAGCGTACAACGGCCGAAACGTTGTGACAAATATGGCGACAAAGATGAGGACAATAGTCCGACTAATGTAAATACTATAGATGCACAAGTTTGTATAAATACTGTGTGACACATTTTGTCCTTTTTTTGACTTTATCAGACAAAGTTTATGTTCATAATGATGCAACTACATGTGCACAAATGAAAGAAAATCACAGGGAATTTCAAATTTAAAAATAATATTTTTTTAATACGTGTTTCGGGTATATAATTTAGCTGATTTCATTTAGATTCTTTTTCTTTGTCTCACTTTTGTTATTAAATATCCCACACTGTGGTAATAAAAGCTCTGCCAAGAATGGTGAAACACTGTAAGAATCTTCACACAAAACTGATGGAAATGTTTCTACAGATAATATATTAGGAATTCATGAACTCCAGGCTAAGAAATACATTACAAAATGCACCATCATTTAATATTTATCAGAATTAGCTCCGTGCGATTTTTGACTATTTCCAAAATTGAAAAATACTCTCAAAAGACAAAGATTTGCTAGCATTTCTGATATCCAGCAACACCTGCCTGTATTACTGAAAGATATATAAGATAACAAATTCCAAGAATGGCATTATTGCCTCACAAAGTGTATAGTTTATAGCAAGAGTTCTTTGAAGGTGATAGCATCCAGTAAAGAGCAAACTTTCATGGGGCCATTCCAGGAATTAAATAGTCACACAAGGCCCGAGAACCTCTCGAAATAGAGAACAGAGTAAGAGGCACAAATTATGCAGATATGTGTGTAAGATAATAGTTAATCCTAGACTTGATCAGGTTAAGATTGTAGTGATCAGGGAAGCTTCTTGTTGGG